GAAAGAACTCCAACGATTCCTAGGTTTCTCCAACTTTTATCGTCTATTCCTCCTGAACTACAGTTCTATCACGGCACCATTAACAAATCTCCTGAAAGGCAAGCCCAAGTCTCTGTCCTGGAACTCCGAAGCCACCACAGCCATGAAACAACTCCAAGAGGCGTTCACCACTGCTCTACTCCTGGTGCATCCCGATCCAAAAAGACAATTCGTGGTTGAAGTTGACGCCTCCACATCTGGAGTAGGAGCTGTCCTGTCACCGCAGCAGGGCAACCCACCTTGACTCCATCCATGTGCCTTCTCCCGGAAATTAACCTCGGCGGAGCAAAACTATGACATCAGGAATAGAGAACTACTCGCCATCAAGCTCGCCCTGGAGGAATGGAGGCACTGGCTTGAAGGAGCTCATCATCTGTTTATAGTCTATACGGATCACCGGAATCTGGAATATCTTCGTGAGGCAAAGAGATTAAACCCCAGACAAGCCAGGTGTGCTTTGTTTTTCACCCGGTTTAATTTCACCATCTCCTATCGTCCCGGGACGGAAAATACCAAAGCAGATGCTCTTTCAAGACTTCATGCTACAGACAAACAACCTGAGAATCCAGAGACTATCATCCCCACTGAGCTCATTGTTAGCCCGATCCAATGGACCCTAGATGACGACATCGCAGCAGCCAGTGTCTCCGATCCTGCTCCGCCGGGGTGTCCCCCAAGTCACATCTATGTTCCCCGCAGTCAACGAACACCACTAATTCATTCAGCACACACCTCCCTGGGCACTGGTCATTCCGGGACCAATCAAACCCTCTCACTGTTGAAAGATCGCTTCTGGTGGCCTGGAATGGCAAATGACATCAGAAGGTACGTGAGAGGATGCCGGGAATGTGCCAATGGCAAAAACACTTTGCCACTTACCTACTGGCAAACTCCTACCTCTTCCTGTTCCCCAGCGTCCCTGGTCACACCTGGGGGTAGATTTTGTCACGGACTTCCCTGTATCTGACAATAACACTTGAATCCTGGTTACTGTCGACAGATTCTCAAAGGTCTGCCGTTTGGTTCCTCTGAGAGGACTTTCAACAGCAATGGAAACTGCGGAGGTACTGTTTAATCATGTCTTCCGTAACTTTGGCATTCCAGAAGAGATCGTGTCTGATAGAGGTCCACAGTTTATCTTACGTGTATGGAGAGCCTTTTCACTCCTAGGTGTGACCATCAACCTTTCTTCAGGATATCACCCACAGAGTAATGGACAAACGGAACGAAAGATCCAGGAGATAGGCCGATACCTCCGTACCTTCTGCCATGGTCACCAGAACTCCTGGAACCGGTTCCTTGCCTGGGCCGAGTACGCACAGAACTCCCTCCGGCAACCCTCCACGAATCTCACTCCATTCCAGTGTGTACTCTACTATCAGCCACCTTTGTTCCCCTGGTCAGGGGAAACCTCAGATGTTCCCTCCGTCACCCATTGGCTCCAAGAGAGTGAGAGGGTCTGGGACTCAGCACACCAACATCTACATTGGGCAGTAAGACGCCATCAACATCATGCTGATGTCCGGAGAGCCCCTGCTCCCTCCTTCCAGCCAGGACAAGAAGTATGGCTCTCCACTCGGGACATCCGGTTGCGCCTCCTCTGTAAGAAGCTGAGTCCCAGGTATATTGGTCCCTTCCCCGTCATCCGGCAAATAAACCCAGTCACGTATGAACTCAAACTTCCATCACAGTACAGGATTCATCCCACATTCCATGTTTCATTGCTCAAACCCTATCACCCACCTGTTCTCCCTGTTCCCACAGAGCCTGGCACTACAGACGAACCCCCTCTACCGCTGGTGCTGGAAGACAGAACAACATACTCAACATTACTCCGTAAGGGAGATTCTGAGCTCCCGACGTCGTGGTGGCAGATTGGAGTACCTTGTAGACTGCGAAGGGTATGGCCCTGAGGAAAGATCATGGGTTCAAAGGGATGACGTCCTCGACCCCAATCTGTTGGCAGAATTCCATGCCTCCCATCCACACGATCCAGCTCCACGCAGTAGGGGTCGCCCACCACGACATCGGTATCTTCGGTCCTCAGGAGCGGGCCGTGTAGAGGGGGGTTCTGTCACGGACACGCCAGGCTCTTTCACCTATCAGCGCTCACAATCACCGGAATATTAATCACACACACCTGACTGTCATTCACCAATGACCCACACAGCACTATAAGAACTATAAGAACTATAACTATAAGAACACACAGTTCACACAGCCACATCGTCTGGTCTCCCAAGTGGAAAAGGACTCAAACCTATGCAGTATTATTTATCTGTTGATCCACGACTCCTTGATCTTGTGTGTTCCTGTGTGTGTGTGCTCCGTCTACTTGCCTGCATCCAGCTCTGTTACACCGACTCCTGGAAACACCCCGATCCGCTCCGTCTCCCTCCGACCTGGTAATCAAGAATATAACTGTCAGTATCCTCTTCAAGTCCATTCAAGACTCTAGGTCTGCAATACTCAAGTCTTTGATCATCTCCATCCTGAATAATAAACCTGTATGTTTGATTCTAACTCACCTGTGTATCGAGTCTGACTTCCCGTTACAATATGGAGTGTCCCCACAAACCAGATGTGTGGTAATACTTTAAATAATTGACCTGAGCAAAATTTGCCCCAGAGCATAACCGATTTTTAAATGATAAATTATACTAAATGATGTTTATGAAAATATAAAAATGCTGAAAGTTTACTGTTATGGGTAGGTTTAGGGGTGATTCAGTATAAAATTCAATAATATAATGTAAATATGAATATAAAAGGTTCTAAATATAATGTAGAAACTTACATTTTCTGTGAAACTGCTTTGCAAAAATTTGTTTTGTGAAAAGCTAAACAAATAAATGTGAATTTAATTGAATTATGTCTATGGGAATCCTCCATAAAAGTGATTAAATTATTATTTTTTTAAAGTGATTGTGACATGTGGCCAAGTATGGTAACCCATACTCAGAATTAGTGCTCTGCATTTATCCCATCCAAAGTGCACACACACACACAGTGAACACACACCCAGAGCAGTGGGCAGCCATTTTTTCTGCGGCACGCGGGCAGCAGTTGGGGGTTCGGTGCCTTGCTCAAGGGCACCTCAGTCGTGGTATTGAATGTGGGAAAGAGCGCTGTATATTCATTCATTCGAGTCCGACTCTCTAACCATTAGGCCACGACTTCCCCTTAAAACATGACAATGACAAGTCCACAATATCCCTTACCGTTTGGCCTGTTAAAATGATTTTTTTTCCCCTTTACTTATTTTGACGTCGCTGGCTCCTCATAACAAAGGTTTTTGTTATCTAAAACTAGTGTAAATGTTTTGCTTTGTTTTATATCGTGTGTGATCGCATTTATTTATATTAATTTCATTTAAAAGAAGAGAATAAGACTCGTACTTTTGAATGTGTGTTTGTGTACTTGTTTAACCTACGTTGTGGGGGGCCAAAGAGAGGAGCATGAACATTTTGACCTTGATTGAGAAAATTACTTATAAATCACATCAAATATTAATTTATTTTGTAAGATATAAAGTTTTCTGTGATGGGTTAGTGATAGGTTGTAAAATGTATAATTATCTGTAGATAAAAACAAAAACAAAAAACAATAAGAGTCTGTGTCGTGTCCCCATTTAGATAGCTAAGAAAACGTGTGTATGTGTGTGTGTGTGTCAGAGAGAGAGCGAGAGAAGAGAGAGAGAGAGAATGGATATTTTTATCCATTTCTTTCTTTATTGTTTTATTTTCAATTCATTATTAGTCATGTTACATATTTTATTTAAATCCTTTTTATACAATCATAAAATTATATGTGTGGGGTCAAAAGGTCAAAGCCATAAATCTTTCTTGACACAAGCGCCCGTTATTGACTATTCCCATGTTGTTTTCAATGAAACTGTTAGCAAATCATAGCAGTGGGTGTTTACTTGAGAGTCTTGAATGTGCCCCGCCTATAAAAACAGACCGTTCTGCAGAGAGGCTCAAAAACAGGGCATAAAATAGCCCATTACTTCTAAATTATGATGTGTTTTTGATGTAAAATCACACTAACATTATAAGTGAACCTCAGAGAACATTATAATAAAAATAATATAAATAAATTTAAAAATAATTTAAATAATGTAGTTCATGACCCCTTTAAGCACATTTTAGTATAGGACATATGTACATTCACCTTACAATTTTGTTTGATTTTATAGAATGTATATTACAGTGCCATTCCTGGCTTGATTGATATATTAGGGAGGCGGGACTCCCACATTGCTGTCATGATTGGTCTGTCAACTGACAGAGATGGTGTTATTGGTGCTTCCAGGATTGGTCATGCCCAAGACAGTTCTTATAGTGAGATACCTCATATATTACCAGAGAATTGCGAGATTACACAAATAACCTAAAGTTTTTTGGGATTGTATTTTTCTCAGGTTATTTTACCATCTGCTGCAGCTTACAACTAAATGTTTTTTTATATTCTGATCTTCAATTCTGTTATTTCATATCTGTTATTTGACTGCTAGAAAACAAACAACAGCATTTTCAGTGTTTTTTCAGTAGTGTTTTTAGCTCTTAAAGATGAGGAATATCATTTTTATGTTCTCCTCTCCTAGTTTAATATGCAAAGAAAAATACAAGTAAGCTATTGGTAGGTTGATAGATTGCAGATATATGTGGGTCGTATATGGTTCTGTGGCACTACATTGCTCTGTTGGTTGTAGTATGAAAGCAACGTTGGCTCAACCAAAAGGTGGGACAATCTGTTTGTCCTATTCAATCATGGGGAATCTTGTTCATTAATAAACATTTTATATTTCTATTTTAAATTCCCTTACACTAGTAATGCAGAAATATACACTTCATCTTTAAAGACATAAGACACAGATTGCACTCCCCATTTAGCTTGCTCTGATAAATTGTATGACAATAATCCTGACTCTAATGTGTTACTTTTCCTCACCTGTACAGATTCCACCAATAGTGACTCAGCTAAATCTAAGGTAAGATCAGCATCTAAAATGCACAACTATATTTATTTATTTATTTTTTTTAATTGAGAAAGTTTACTACCTATACATTTTTTCTCAGTGTGTATTTTTCATTTTCTATTATATGTATTTTATATTAATATTTTTTGTTTTGCATTTAACAAATGGCAGGCATAGCTGTTTTTCCTTGAATGTTGTGAAATGTTTTTCATTTAATATTTTTATTTTAGTGGTTAATGTGAGGAATATTCCACATACAGCTAAAACCAATATATATATATATAGTAAATGTTTTCCATTTTAAATTATACTGTCATCGATTTTAAATGACAAAAGTTTAATTGAAAAATATACATGAATTTCAGAATGTCTTAGTATTTAATGTCTTAGACATCATATTGCTTTATGATAGCAGAACTTCATGGGTTTGTGCCAAATCAGATGATCATTCAATCCATCATGATTTCAGAATGATCCAAAGAGTCCAGAATGATACAAAGAGTCGCAAGATTAAGTAACTTGAATAGTATACAAGTAACAGTTGACAAGTGCAGAATCTAAAATATTTATTATTCAGTTAACATCATGACCTTGCTTTGTGTGAAGAGTGGGGTGGGGCCGAGAGCCATGGGAACGAAGCGAGGCCAGTGGAGTAAATGATAATGCGCGACACCTGCGCCACTCACTGGTCTCGAGTCCCACGGAGGAGGATAAAAGGAGGAGTGACGACAGTGTTGGACTAGAGAGGACTAGGCCTGGACTTTATGTTGTTTTGTTTCTGTTTGTTCTATTTTAAGTTTTGTGTTTATTTTATTATTAAAATTATGTTTAAATGTTTGCCGGTTCTTGCCTCCTTCTTCCCAATCTACGAACTGTGTTACACTTTGTTTTTCATTAAAAAAATCCTAAAACTTTTTGTTTCCATGTTTGTTTGAAACGATTTTGAATGTCAGATTTTTAGTGTTGTCATGCCTCCTGGATAAACTTCTGATAACATGTTACTGAAAAAAGATTTTGAGTCCTCATTAAAACACCAGAATCAGCAGAAAAATTTGTGACATTTTTTGAGCTCTGCAATGAAATGTAATTTCTTTTATTACAGGGAACATCAACATCTAAGAAAGACCTGAGTGCCAAAGACTTCCTCCCCATGTCTATAATATCAGCCATGACCCGGAAGAGAAAGAAACACCAGAGCACCTGCCCTGCAGACAGCAGCACTGATGAAGACTCTGAGCAGGAGTCAATCAAAGCCAGCATCTATGAGGAAATGAGTGACAACAGAGAGGTTCCAGGGGAGAGAGAAGCAAAACAAAGCAAATGCCCATCCCGAAAATCAAAAGAAGAGACTGGGGAAGTCAGCATGATGGAGGGGAAAAAAACGGAGGACCAAGAAGAACTGAGGGTGGCAGAGGAGAAGAACACCATTCTTCAGAAGGAACGGGATAAGATAGGAGTGGAGGTTTGTAAGAGAAAACAAACAGGTCGGATTCGGTCTCAGCGCCCTCTGAGCTACCTGTATTCACACCACCAGAGTGTGTCAGGGCTCAGAGCCTCATCGCAGTCGACCAAATCTTGTTTCTCCACCTGCTCCAACCCACCACAGCCCTCAAATATCCCTCACAGTCTCACCCAGAGGAAACTGAGAGGAGAAAGATTGCGACCTCACACATTGTAGGTATAACTGAGCCGGAATGGAAAGGAGCAGGGCTTGGGGGCGATACCTGCCTCTTGCATGCACAATCTGGGCCTCTCACCAGTCAAAGAATCACTTGTTAGAGGTCAAGAGAAGCTGCGTCAGTGGAGCAGCACGGATGTCTTCAACAGGACTGCATTTGTAAAGAGCAGGTCAACTGATCAGCCCATGGCCTGTGGACATGCAGGCTTACCAGAGACACGCTGCAAGAAACATGAAACACATAAACAACCCCTTGCCAACTTTAGCCCTGCTCTTTAAAAAGCTTTAATGCTTTTGTTTTTAACTTCCTCCTGCACAAGAGGAGGGCTACTATGGCAGCTACAACCATATGACAGCACCGTTCTCATTACAAGAGTCAAAAGCATTATTAAGTACCTACAAACAGATGCAGCAAAGTATTTTGAGTGTTTGAGTGTGAAAATGCCATTCTGTGCTCCCACCATCTCACTGAATATTAACCCGCTTATTATACAGCTACTTGTCAAATATAAAAAGTAATTTTAGTTTAGCTGAAATTATTTTACATTGATATTATCTTAAAGCTTTTGCTAAGAAAAAACTAGCCCATTACAATGTACAAAACAATCAGCCTGGCAAAAAGTCAAAATTGAGACATGAGAATATACGCTATCAGGAATTTTCCTTGAGGGGGAAAGATTTCCCCACACAGTTTTTACATCAGGTTGGTTACAAATTTGCTGCACTGACAAACAGAAAGCTGCTTTGGTTGAAAGTGATTTCTGTGTGAGCTATGCTTTATACATTCTTTGCAGCAGTGGTGGCTCCAGGATTTTTTTGTTGGTGGTGCTAAGGGGGGGCTTAACAGTTCAGAGGGGGTGCTAAAAAAACTAATTAAATATAGAGAAAGTAATGAATGCCTAAGCTTCAGCTATCTAAGCATGCAAATTCAGCCACCTTGTGTTTTTTATATACAGCAGCTTCGAAAGAGGCATTTTTACATTTTCTGTGGTATTAAACTTCTCATATGCCACAGTTATTAGTAATATAACTTCTAATGCCAACTGCCAAATATGACACTTGCAAATTAATACAATTTATGAACGCAGATAGAAAAGAGAGAAAGTAGGGATTTTTTTTTTGTTATTATTATTTATTTATTTTTTTACACATCTTTTTACTCTTTTTTTTTTTTTTACCATCAAGTGTCAGTCACTCTCAATGCCAACTGGCAGGAAAACACTGTAAATTCTAAAAAAGTTTTACAATAGATAAAGTGCCGACAATTTATAAAACTACTTCCACATAAGCAATTTTTTAAGAGTTGCTACTCTGTGTGACGACAGACTCTTCTCCATCCTGAACTTTAGACTGAGGCTACATTTACACTAGTGCGTTTTTGTTTTAAAACGCATAACTTTTGCCACGGTTACACCTGTTGTTTACACTACTGGAGTGTTCGACCCTCGAAAACGGATACTTTAGAAAATGATGCAGACGGGGTTGCGTTTCAGTGTAAACGGACCAAAGCGGAGACTTTTGAAAACGATGGCGTGGCTGCCCACATTCACTCTGCGTATCCTTGTTGACCGTGCAAACCATAACATCGTGCTGGATTGTTGTACCCATAGATATATATACATATCTATGGTTGTACCCAGAGCCGTTGAGAAATAGAGTTATGACACCCCTTACCAAAAAGTAGTATACTTCAAGTTTATTTTAGTAAGTATACTTAAGTAAAGTTCAAGTACATTTTTAAGTATACTTCATGTAGTAAGTATACAAATATCAGTGTACTAGTAGTATACTTGTAAGTGTACTATTTCAATATTCCTTGGGACTAAATTGGCCCACTTTCTAGTATATAAAAGTATACTTTTGAGTATACTTTAAGTATAACAGTAGTAAACTTTGAGTACACAACTAGTTTACATCAAAATGTTTAGTTTGTACTGCAAATATAGGTATACTGATGGTTTACTAATTAAATACTTGTAGTAGTATTTTTAATATACTTTGAAGTATAGTCTCAGTAAACTACTAGTTTAGTAGTTTTATTCTACAAGATGGTGACATGCCAATCAGCTAATCAACTCAAAACACCTGCAAAGCTTTCCTGCGCCTTCAAAATGGTCTCTCAGTTTGGTTCACTAGGCTACACAATCATGGGGAAGACTGCTGATCTGACAGTTGTCCAGAAGACAATCATTGACACCCTTCACAAGGAGGGTAAGCCACAAACATTCATTGACAAAGAAGCTGGCTGTTCACAGAGTGCTGTATCCAAGCATGTTAACAGAAAGTTGAGTGGAAGGAAAAAGTGTGGAAGAAAAAGATACACAACCACGCCACGTCACTGTCACGTGTGGCATCAATGCACCGCGAGAGCGTTTCGAGAGCAGCCGGCTGACTCAGCCGGCACAGTTCCTCGAGAGCGGCTGCAGGAGCGTTGATGACGACACAGCCATTTCACGATTGGCCAGATTCACCGCACGACAACTATCACGTGTGTTTCGGGTTTATTCTAACATTTTCAATTCCAATAATAGCCACAAATCTGTGTTTTTAGAATAGTAAAAGCTTTTTTACTGTAGTCGCAATGTTATATTGAGTCACGTTTATCATAAAACACTGATGAATGCATATATTCCCCCACTTTATTAGTATTTAAATAGTATATATTTACGTTGAACTTTATTCTTGAACAGATGGCGATGTATTAAGCAGTATATAATCAGTATATCTGCTGCTCATGAAAACGTTTCTGAAACGTCTGTGTATTTGACAAATATTGCATTTAATTCACTTAATCTGTGATAGCGTATGCAAACACCGCGCGAGCGTCACTAACGGGAGCAGAAAGTGTCCGGCTTGACGGCTCCGGTTTCAACCCCCGACTGCAAGTGGCTAGTCTCGTTGACTGCCATCTGTTACCGTGCTTCAAGTCGAACGCACCTATAGACTGTATAAAAACATGGACGTAGTGTCCGTGACGTCACCCGTAGATTTCCGAAGAGCGTTTTTGAAGCTCAAAATTGGGCGGAGACGGTCGTCGCCATCTTGGCAGCGCGTCACCACGCGTCACTCCCGGATAATCGAAAATGGGCAAAGTTATTAATAGTGTAAATGTAGCCTTAGTCTAAAGTTCAGGATGGAGAGGAGTCTGTCGTCACACAGAGTAGCAACTCTTAAAAAATTGCTTATGTGGAAGTAGTTTTATAAATTGTCTGCACTTTATCTATTGTAAAACTTTTTTTTAGAATTTACAGTGTTTTCCTGCCTCCTAGCTCGACGGTGGTGACAGCAGCGGCAATCCACCTGTCACTCAAGTGGCCACGCCCTTAATTATGCAGAACTTTAAGGCTTAATATAATTTAAACAGATGAGTTATAAAAAAAATTCACCCCCCTCACAGTTGTCATCAAAGGCAAAATTAGCTATATAGACCAAAATAATTTTTTGAACCAGGCTGTAAACATGTTTTTTTCTGCTGTAAAGTTGGGCATTTTAACATGGGGAGTCTATGGGATTGACTCCCTTTTGCAGCCAGCTCTAGCGGCCAGTTGATGAATTACAGTTTAAGTCACTTCCCTGTTGGCTTCACGAGAGAGAGCGGGAGGTTGCCGCTTGGGAGCAGCCAATAGTTCCAAACAACCAATGAAGCCCATTCATTTTAGTCCTTCTCAAGCACACTGGCCAGAAAGTTGAGGAAATTACAGCAATTTTTGGCATTTTAACCTCTCGGAAATCTGGCCAGTAGTTGTATTTTATGAAATGCGTTATAGTTAATGTTTAGTTTTAGATAATAGGCAGTTATGCTATATTTGCAGTTAGATAACGTGAGAAACACCTTAATAGTGACCATAACCAGATGCTAGTTGTCATATTTTTACGTTTTTAGTCTTTCTGCAATCTTTAAGTAGAGCTAAATATATCTAGGCTATATTTCTTAAACAGCCATACGGGCATCTAGTGGTTAAACCATGGCTTTACATAGGAATATTATTTTTCTGGCCACCAAACGTCTCTAATTTGCCTAATGCGTTATAGTTAATGTTTAGTTTTAGATAATAGGCAGTTATGCTATATTTGCAGTTAGATAACGTGAGAAACACCTTAATAGTGACCATAACCAGATGCTAGTTGTCATATTTTTACGTTTTTAGTCTTTCTGCAATCTTTAAGTAGAGCTAAATATATCTAGGCTATATTTCTTAAACAGCCATCCATACATCTAGTGGTTAAACCATGGCATTACATACATAGGAATATTATTTTTCTGGCCACCAAACGTCTCTAATTTGCCTCTTTGCACTGGAATTAATTTTTTTTCTCTATTTTAACCCTAAATACTACGCTAATTGTAATATAAATAATAAGCAGATTAGAAAAAATATTAATGCTCTCTCTTCATCACTCCCCATAAACTGCGACTGTAAAACGTAGTCAGCGTAGTTATCAATACACAATCAATGCACATGATATGTTAATAATCACTAGAAATTGCTGCAAATATAGTGAAACTGCTGTCTATCCTACTTCAACCCATTCAAACATATTGACAGCGCGGAGTTGTTTGGAACTATTGAGAGGTCCATGAACCACGTGACCGCGTGGCGGCGAGATCAAAGCGAGTCGCAACTCTTTCTCAACGGCTCTGGTTGTACCTGCATGAATGGTCATAGTTATTCCTATTTTTAAAAGTGGAGATCGGCATCTTCTTTCCAACTATAGACCAATTTCTCTTCTTTCCCAGTTCTCAAAAATTCTAGAGAAAATATTTGTGCGCAGGCTTGATAATTTTATAGACAAACACAAATTATTAAGTGATCATCAGTATGGCTTTAGAACAAACAGGTCGACCTCAATGGCTGTGATGGAACTGGTAGAAGAGATTTCTTCTTCAATGGATAATAATGAATATACTGTGGGGGTGTTCCTAGATCTAAAAAAAGCGTTTGACACTATTGATTATGGTTTATTAATGATGAAACTGGAGAGATATGGTATAAGAGGAAAATTCTTTGCTTGGATAAAAAGTTACCTCGATGACAGATATCAATTTGTAGAAATAAATAATGTTAAATCAGATGTAATGAAAGTTACTTGTGGTGTTCCACAAGGTTCGGTGTTAGGCCCCAAATTGTTTGTACTGTACATAAATGATATTTGTAAATTGTCTAAAGTATTAAAAATGGTTTTGTTTGCTGATGATACAAATTTATATTGTTCGGGGAAAAACTTGGAACAGCTTCTCAATACAGTGGAAATCGAACTCATGGTTTTCAAAAAATGGTTTGATGATAATAGACTTTCACTGAACTTAAGTAAATCTAAGTTTATACTATTTAGTAATCGACAAAGTAACAACAAAATTAAAATAAGGATTAACAATGAGGAAATAGAATAAAGGGTAGACATAATAAGCAAGGCTTCAGCCTACACCTTTTTCGGTAATTATGTTTATTTATTTATTTTGTGAAAAGTTGTCTGTGAGGACCGAAATAAAATTATTATTGATTGATATTGATTGATGTGACATGCGTTTTCGGTTGTGTAGTGTGGAAGGAGAACGTTTCTAAAATGCAGTGAAAACGCAAGTGTAGATGAGGATCGTTTTGATTTTAAAACGCCGTTTGAAAACAAAAATGCACTAGTTGTAAACAGGGCTTGAGACTGTCGACTTGTGTAATTGTTCTCTTCTGAGCTATTCTACAAAGTGTCTGAAATTTATGGTGTTTTACTTGATATTAAATAGCGCTCCATCGTGATAGCTGTTGATACTAAACTTAAAATGAACGCTAATGCACACTGTAACTAAGTGCGCCTAATTGACCCCTCCTCCATAATGTCAATTGTTTATTGTTCAATAAACAATAATTGTTTATTGTGCCACATAGGCACTTTTTTTTTTTTTTTAGGTTTTTAATGTTTATTTTTCAATGCAAATGAAAGTGACACTGGGAGTTAAAAAAGTAAATAAAACAGGAATATCATTAGGAAATC